ACCCACGCGTGGGCTATGGCTCTCCCGCAAATGAAGAACTCGGGGGTTTAAGCCACGAGGAGAAAGTTTGATTTCTGTGTTATGAAGTCCCTTGAATTGTTTTCTAAAAGGAGGGTTTTATTCCAGAAGGCAAAGAAGCAATTTAACACGTTACAGAGTATATTTAACATCGAAGAAGAGAGCAATTGTGCCTTTCCTAAAGCATTTAGGCCTTTCCTGAGAAGAATCAACCTGATACTGGAAATAATGATTTACATTTTTGCAATATTGTAAAAGCTAGTGGAGAAATGTAAACCTTAGCACTGCTCCTAGTTCTGCAGTCGCAGGGGGACTCCACGGAAACATACCGGTGCTATTCTTTATCTGTACCTTGTATTTTACAACAGAACTGTGTACCTATATAATTTAAATTTTTTTTTCCAGATCAATATTTAAGTTATGATAAGTCCAAAAAAAAAAGAAATGTAGACACAATTTTGCAGTGTTACACAGTGGGGGATTTGATAGTATAAATTTTCTCAATGTTTATTAAATAGCACTGCAGTTTTAATGAAAATTTTCATTTCAAAAGACAATCTTTCTCATCTTTCTTGAAAGTATTTCAATGACACTAAGTAACAGGTTGCTTAATACTAGTTTACAATATTCTGAAGTTACACATTATAGAATTTGATAGCACATACAACCAGTTTTTTTCCACTTCTTTACATTTTCTACAAAAACCATAATAACAAACCCAAACACAACAGTGTGTGTGTATATGTGTGTGTGTACATATTACAAAAATAGTTGTACAGTAATTACACATGGTAAGTCATAAAACAATTAGGTATTGATACTGAAATAAGGAAACCTTACTGGCAGGTTTAAACACAAAAGAGAAAGTAACTTGTTTTATTTAATTACTTAAAAGCTTTTAAGAACCCATCATAAAAATGAGAATATAAAGTTCTAAACAAAAGAAACTGCAGCTTTTGATTGCAAAATTATTGCAATTAGATAAAAATTAGCAATAGTAATTACATTATATTATAAACTAGATATTACCTGTTTAAAAAACTAGCAGGAAACACCAGCTTTATTCAAAACTAAAAAAATGAGAATCAAAATACCAGTGATCAACTGATCAAAATATATGACATAGTGTTGGGAAAAAAAAAAAAATCACCAAATTATTGAAGTCACAAAAGACATTAATTTTTTTTTTTTACATTTTAATTTGTAACAGTTACATTTAATGTTCCAAATTAAAAAAAAAAAAAGTCTTTAAGCATTTATATGCAGCTACATACAGCTGATACAAAAAGAAGACATACTAGAGAACATAGAGTACATTTCCTTCGCCTTTAATAAGAAAAATTCCGGTAATAACTAGCTACACAAACAACATTCAAAAGATAAATATTTAAACAAATTTCTGTTAAAGCTGGGAAGAAAGTTCTGTTATAGAAGTCTCAGAATTTTTGAACAGAGTGACGAAGAAAATAACAGAACTATTAGAAAATAAATTTACTTCAGAAGCATCTTAATTTGGAAAACACTCACTGGCATGCAGATAAGCTCCTAGAATTAAAAAATAAAAAGCAGCCACAAAGGCTCTGCAAACCTTGTAATTCTGTAATTTTTGTCAGATATTGAGGATGTGTTAGTAGGCCAGAATTGTAAAGTGCTTCAACAGTTTAGCTCAATCTTATAAAACAAAATTAAAACCCACTACCCTGACATTGCATTAAGTAAAAACATTAATATCTTTCTCAGACATTATTCCAGTTTTTGGTTTTATATTTATATTTTCCCCATCCTTTAAATAAATTTGCTACACAATTTTTCTTGTAATGTGCCATCTTAAAAAAAGTAATAAAAATCTCTGCCTGGCAATAACAGCTACTTTTAAAGCTACTTTTAGTGATAACTTGTTGCTTTAATTAAATGTTACCACTTTTACATTAAAATGGCATTGCTGCTAACACACACAAGCTGAGAGGTGAATAGATATATTTGTGGAATTCAGTAAGACCAAGCAAAAAGAAACACGGATCTTGATCTTATAAAAGATACACAAAATACAGTGGCTTCAAGTAGCTACCTAAGAGATGTTATCCTCGGGCCATTAAAACATGTTTCTAAAATTACACGGATTCCCAGCTGGATGCTTTAAAAAAGCATGCCCACACAGGCCTACGCTACCCTTTATTAGCTGGCCATTTAATAATCTATTGTTTCTGTAATTCACAGATTTAAAATGCTCCTTCTTTGAAATTCTATCTGCAGAATTCTTAAAAAAAAAAAATCACAATATCTCCATTTCTAGGCTGGTAACTACAGCACTGAAGTTAATGGGAGCTTTGCTAGGGTGATCAGACCCCCTAGCTCTTTTTAATAGCAGTTAAATGTCAAATATAAATACAACACCACAGTGAAGCATATTCCTTTGACAGAATCTGGGACAAGACACTACGCAGCTGCTCTTAACAATAAAGAGCAAAACTGACGTTTAATCAAAGTAAGTGTTGGTGGTTACGAAGTTGTGTTCAAGCCTGCCTTTTGTTTGTGAAAAAGTCAATGTTCCAACGTGTTAACTACAGCCACAATGAAATCAGCAGCTCCTGTTACTCCTGAAGAGTGAAGAGGTCCCCATCCGTACAGCGTGCTATAGCTATGTGATTATCGTCGTCTCAGAGAGGGAGATACTGTCCATTTAAACTGCTAAACTAAAACATTTCTCCCAGCGCCTTCAACTGTAAGTGCATAAAGTTAAACGTGCTGGGTGAAATCCTGGTTGTAGTGAGGTTGATGCAAAATTCAGCCATTGCTTTCAATGGACCTCATCCAGGATTTTCACTGGGAATGAGTACCCGTAATTCCCTGGGAAGTGAGAATCCCCAACAAGCCTAGAAGTTATGTCATTTTTATTAATATTTCTAACGTCTAAGCAGCCATGCTCAAGAATTTTGGCCTTCAGTTCTTATGCCTGATAAAACCAAGCTTTCCATAAACATTACAGAAGGACTACAGGAAGATATATTTATAACTTAAATTGTCAGCAGCATACAGTTTGTACAAATGTTGTTTTGCTGATGTTGCTGAGCTACTTTAAAAAGTGAATACCTTGTGGGGTATGTAATTTCACCACCGATGTCAAATGACTTCTAAAGATGAAACTTCTCTGATACAAATTACAAACGATGCTTTGAATATATTTGATATGATATACCAACTTTTAAGGTGAGGAATTAAGTTATCTTTATTTTTCAGGTCCGAGACATGCATTCACTAAAGGAAGTATTTTAACTGCCACATATGTCAGCAGAGCATGACTTACCCAATTACTGAGATTTTAATAATTACAAAAACCTAAATGTAATCTGTAATGTGGAGACCAGAATCAACATACATAACAAATCAAAGAAAGAGTATCAAGGTCTGGTTTTAAATTTTTTTAAGGACTTATGGTTGTATTGATGATGCAGCTTCTAGGTACACGTTACCAGCCAGCTGTGTTTATGTGGTACACAAAACCAGTAAACAGAGCAGAAACTGCTTTGTACTGTCCTTAAGATAGCAATACAAGAATGATTTTTCATGACTCTTCAGAAGCTGGGCTTGCTTTACATCCACATGAAATGCTGTCATCACTAGGTCCGAGCCCGGAGGATGAACTGCAGAAAAGGGGAGAGGGGGGGAAAAAAAAAAAAAAAAAAATAAAAGGAGGAAATTGGTTTTCACAACACACTCAAAGCCTGAGTAACAGAGGAGAACTTTAATTATCTCCAGTCACAAAGAGAGACAGGAAATTTGGACTTTTAATTAGCCATTTGGAGTGCAGTTGGATATTTTTTTAGCAAGATAATTTAAACGCGAATAATTCAAGTCTGACTAAATGAAATTCACATAATCAGAATGCAGATAATTGAATTTCTACTGCATTCATTAATTCAGTGTGGAGGTGTGTGTGAAGACTTCTATGATGAGCTGTCACAGCTCAATAAAATCTCAGTCAATTAATTTTTTCATTATCTTAGTATTACATCAACAAAAAAGTGAAGCATGCGCGCATGTATGTATGTATATATAATCTCAGAAAGTAAGGAAATACAGAAATCACCTCTCTGTATCAGAGTCTGCATCGTTTTTTCCTTTTTTTCTCTCTTCATCTTCTATAGGAAAACGTCTGTTCAAAGAGGCGAACTTATGAATTGCATCAGCAACAGAGTATTTGGTCTGTCCAGATACACAAGCCTCCATATCTTCTGGGCTCAGCTGAGTCTGTAAGAAGAGGTGAAGCCTACTGTCTGAAAGCAATAATGCATCTTGTAGGATCCTGGAAAAAGAAAAAAAAAGTCAAAATGTTTTTGTATAGATGTACATATATCCTAAAGTGTTTTACCAGAAAAAATTCTAAATTATGTCCTGCTTTTAAGTTTTCAGATTAATCCTAAATCAGTAACAGAAGGTAATGAACATATTAAAATGATTAGGTGTGTGTTACTTTCTTACTACATTATTTGGAATTTTAGGTGAGTAAAAACACGAAGCTAATAGTTAGGCACATCTGCTATTAGAATAACTTCAAGGACATTTCTTCCATTGAACCATCTGTTATTACCACATGGATCAATTAATGATTTTTAGGCAGTTGGAGGCATATATTCTTATGAAAATTTGGTCTCCATTTAAGAACTCTTTTTAACAGTTAAACTTTTCTGAAAATTACAAGTCACCAACTTCTTTGGTGGGGGAAAGTAGTGTGTACAGAGACAGAGGACTTCATACACACACAGTGTCAGGATTTTGAAATACCTGTAAACAACAGGTAAATGATTTGTAAAATCATTTACAAATATGCATACATTCAAGGTAGAATGAAAATGCTAATACTGAACACTGATTTAAATTTACTTGCAGACAGTTTTCAGGGAATCTTAAATACTATTTCATTCCAGCTGTTCTTTTCAAAAGTCCATTTTAATCTTTGGTTTATATGTATTTTAAATTAAGTCTTCAAATAAATTTAGCACAGTACTTATTTACATCAAGTGAGAGTAAACAAAATACAATATATTCCAGTAACAGAAAGTTGTAGAGATACTTTTACAAGGACCGAGAATTGAGGATCACCATCATTACTTTGGGGGCATGGGGGATGCAACTTTATGGCAACATTTCTCTAAAGAAGGAATTCTTTAAAACATAAATCTTAGAATGATTAACAAGAGACTTTTTTTATACGTACGTGTACTTTTATTCATGTAATAAAGTCGTCAGAGCCTATGACCATGCCAAACAGTTCTCCACAGAAAATTATTAAAATATCTTTAAACAAATCAAAGCTATTAAGTCAGTATTTACCTATTTCTACCCATTTAGGTTACAGTCATTACCAAGAAAGTCATTGTTATGCAATAGGAAAAAAAAGAGATGACATTAATATAAGAACTAGTAAGAGCAGAAAGACATAGTGCGTTCTATAGGTACTCTGACTAAAATGAAAAGTATGATTAGTTCCTTCTCTCAAATAAGATTAATGCTGAGTTTGGGCTGTAATGTTTTAAAATACAAATACGTTCTGAAAACTGTTCTCTAAGGTGGCCAACGTTACAATAACATTTAATAAATACACAAAAGGATTTCTGGCTTCATCTAAGCCTATACAAATCTGTCAAATCGAAGTAATAAGAGCTATCTAACTGAAAATGTGGGATATTTGTATACATGCACATTTCATATGCCTAGGTAAACAGACACAGTCTCAACCAAATAACTCAAACTTTGACACCTTCCTATGAGCAAAAGTCTGCAATGACCCTAATGGTCTACCAGGTGCATTTGAAATTCAGTCTCAGAAGGACCAGATTTCGCTGAAGTTCAAAATAAACAGACTTTCATACCTAGAGAAAGCCTTTTTAATCCTATCTAAATTCTCACAATTTTACTTAAAAATAAACATAGCAAATAGACATCTGTAAAAAAAAATATCAATGCACGCAGTGTATTAATATACAGAAAAACTTCTTAGTCTAAAAGAAGCTAGGAAATGCTGTGTAAAAAAATGGATTCAAGACACAGAATTTACAGGTTTACACACCTTGACAGCAACAGCTTCACGAATACGGTTTGAAAAGCCATCATTCAGCGGCCTCTAAAAGAGGATTTCAGCTTTGGCTCTTGATAAACATACATTCCAAACAAAGACAAACATTGCAACAGAAAGTAAAAGAAAAAGTATCATTCCGCACAATAAATCCACGTTTATGCAATTGTGGGAGTAAATATTCTCCTTCTTTTTCTCTTCGTCTTAAAAAAAAAAAAGAAAAAAGAAAAATAGCATGCTGGAGTTTACTGTAGAGTAACTAGGATTACTGTTTCTCCCAGGCTTATGAGCACAACGAGGGGATGTACATTGCTGCAATTCTAACATTTGCGTGTCTAATACCAAGTAACCCAGCAAAAAGCCAAGACATTAAATTCTGTGGATGGCATTTAGTTTCACGGATTTTCCTCTTGCTGTACCTTCAAAAGTTTCCTGCCAACCAGCGAGAACACAAGTAACTAACTGTTCGTGAGATTACACTACACTTACAGCTCTGTTGCTGTTTGAAATGTATTGTATTTTCTTTATAAAATAATGGGTAATCTTTAAAATTGATTTTAGATGGTTTGAGGCATTACACCAGAGAAGTAATGAGCACTAATGTCAATGATATTGGACACAAATTCATTTTAGCTTTATTTCATGTCCAGTACAATTCTGCTAAGCCTTGAACTGCTAAAGCACTGTTATTAACTCAGCAGTAACCTAACACATGGAACAGCAAACAAAAGTGATAAGAGTACAGACTGATCAGGACCTCAAGGCTACTGTCCTTTTTCTGCAGCTATAATTCAATTTCCAATTTGACTTTACATTGGACTCATCATTTCACAGTAATTTTCTTTTCTGCTTCCTAGTGCCATCTGGAGGTGAAAGGAGTGAAGAGAAACCAAGGCGAAGAAATGGAAAGATGTTCATAAAGCTAATGACACGCACACACATATATATATATATACGTTCACAAGGCAGGGAGGGGACCAAACACTCAATGCATTTTGCAAGCCATGTCAAACCATCCTGAAAGCAAATACAAGAACCCCTTTCACCCAGTTGTACCCTTGAAGCATTTCTTCTTTCTTTCAATTAAAAAAAACCCCCAAACTCCTGTTTTTCCCACCCCCTCTGAACCAACAGGTTATATTGCTTTTTAATTGCATTCTTCAAGCAATCAAAATGAAAAATAAATTCTGTGCTATCTGTAAGTATTATGCTTTCCTGTTCAAAATACTCCTCCTTCAAGGAAATAACCATACATTTGTCACCAGATGTTACCAGTAGTATTAAGTGCTGGTATAGCAGTTGCTCTTCAGGGCTTTCACTGTCCTGGGGACTCACTGTGTGAAGGGTTGTATGTCTAAAAAATAGATTTGGCTCCAAGGACTTTTAAAAAAAAAAATCAAAATTGCAAAACACCACCTAACAAAAAGGCAAGAGGAAAGGCAGAGTGCTATAACATTAACGCTCGGATGTCTTCGCAGAGGCTGAACGCGTGCGCAGTTTCAACACAACCAGTAGCACTCCCAGTGCTTCTCCAACAGGTTTATTACAGCCAGTGTCAGTGCAACGCTGCGGTTACAGCCATGTAAATCAGCTCTCACTGCCATCATGCTAATGGAAGAGTCACAGCTCACGGTGACAATTCCTATAAACTGGCTGAGCATATTTAAGAGAACAACAGACTTTCTATGCATGCCTGGAATAAGAACGAAAGGCTAAATCCTGCAAGTCTTGATCCCATCAGTAGTCGTTACTTGTCAGAGATCTCACTCCTCTCGGCCAGATTGCTCACATACATAATGACTACTTATGTGATTAAGGGGGCTGCAGGGTAATGCTCTACATTTGAATTAGAGATTAAAAAAAATCGTATTTTATTCTCAGCCATGTAAATCTTTGTTTGTAAGCTTTCAGTAAATGCTCTAGACCTTTAAAGAAGCAGGGCTGAAAAACATCACTTCACAACCAAAGAAATAACATCATTTTTGAGGAAATGCTGGATACTATATGGAGAGTATTTCTCCTTCCCTGTGTTACGGCAGGAACATTTACAAAAGACAAAACATGTGTTTTGTCTTATTTGGACAAGGTCCAAAATCTGGTTTTCTTCAACGTGATTTTATTAAGTATATTATACACTGTTCTGCTGGAGGACAACAACATATGGCTGAACAGTACAACTTAATCCTAACTAAAGATTTCCTGTATCTACTGTAACCTAATACAATGACAGATGCACACTTGCATGCGTGTGGAAGGTTTAACACTCCGATTTTGTTTTCGACAAATTTACCCTGCCCATTTACATCATATGATGAGAGCAAGGGAAACAAGCGGAGGTGGAGAGGCGGGGGACGACAGCCTGTGCTGTGGTGCCCTCTGTTGAGCACCCAGCCCCTCGGCCCCAGCCCACAGCAAACAAAGCCCCAGTTTCCTCTTAAAAAAAGCCAACTGTGCTTCCTCCTTCATTTTTTATAAGGAAAGGAAATGTTACTGATAGCAAGCAACTGTGAAGCAACTGTTGGGCATCTGATAATGCGTATGTTTGGAAAGGATTAAGCGACATGTGCCTGCTGGGCATTATTCACTTGACTCATCAGATAGGAAATATTACCAAGGTTCCACTGGAAAGAGGTGGTCACCACTCGCCCGAGGAGATCCCACCTGCTCCATGGCCACCATGGCTCCCGCCTGAGCCCCGGCAAGCTGGCATCCATCCCTTTTGGAGCCAGGCTCCCGCTTTCCACATCCCCGAGAGAGCACCCAGCAGAGACACTCCTGGGAGAGTCCTCCGACCCTACACCAGCTCCTGCTTGTGGGACTGCGGTGGGGAAGGTAAGGACATGTGAGGAGGACAGCAAAACCCCAGCCACCTCCAGAGAACGGCTCTGCGTTAGGAAGCAGAGTTTTGGGTGTCTTGCTTGCTTGCTCCAGCACGAAGCAAGTCCAACACGTAGCCCTTCGGAGCAACAACATTGAGGATGCTTTTCATCTCCTGTGGATGTGAGTGCTGCATTTCTCAAAACTCCTAGTATATCTTCCACCCCATCATAAACTCCATGAAGACTAATTGAAGACTAATCCTTTTTCCTAAACCACATAATTTTTTGGGGATCCAACTGTATTCAATAAAGACACGCCAGTGATTGAACTCAACTTCATTTAAAATGGTTTTGTTAATTAGCTTTCTAATAAGCAAATGCAAATGATCTTCTGGGAAGGTAATCTAAATCCCAAAGTCAAACCTGTACAGGTACAAAGGGATGAAAGCAAAAAGGCTCTTACAGAACCTAATATTATAAGATAGTGTTTTAATTTTGACCTCTAATTTAAGAATAAGCTTTTCCTGTGAATTTACAGACATCCTCAAAGGATGAGGATACTTACCAGGAAAAACACATAATTATCCTTATTCTTACAAAGTAATTCATAATTGAAAAGGGGCTAGCTGACTTCCGTTAATGCAAATGGCCTCCTGAAATATTAAATTATGCCCAGACAAGAAGTGAGCTTTACAGCTCTTCATCACTCAGAGGTAATAACCTACAAGACAAGCAGGTCTTACCCTGCATTTGTGCAGTAAAGTCATATCAAAATGGGACACCCATTTCCAGATTTCACCAAATTCTAGCGCTTTGCTTCAGTTTCCAGCTGTTGACCTAATCCTCACACTACTGTGCTCAGCACAGACAAAGCTTTTGTGAAGCCTCTCTAAGTACACACCTTGCCCCATACTAACTTGTGCTGGAGCGACCCGTGAAGGAGGACAGGAGAACTCCATGGTCATCCACATATTGCCTATATGGAGGTGCTCCCAGGGTCAGAAGCTGAGTAGCAGAGAGCCTCCAGCCACTCGATCTTTACTCCTCAGGCAGATAGCTCCAGCCCGCGCAGACACTCACACAGCAACAGGCACAGGGCACAAACCGAGACTGTGAAAGATCTAAACTCCATTTCAGAGATGGCTTGGATCCCGATAACCTCACAAGGTGCTGAGTGCAGAGAAGAGCTCGGGTTCCTGCATTGCATGCGTGCATTTGAAAAATGTTACCTGTGAACCTCTCCCTTGACAGGTCCACATAGGCTCAAATCCCATTTCTTCCCACTGCCACAAAGAAACACCGGTAGGGCTCTGAGCTTGTGCACAGTGACTGCCATCATTGCTGGGGCAAATGAAGCACTCAGCTTTGCAGTTCTGTGTTACAACACCCCATGCAACTACTTTCTGGCTCCTTCCCCACCTCTTTTCTAATATACCAGGGAGGCCCTGGCATTGCCATGCTACAGAACATGCAGCATCCAGACCTAGAGCTTTAGTAAAGTTAAATGTGTGTACATATATATACACACACGCGCTTGTTAATGACTCCCACAAATTACATTTCAGAGAAAGAAACCTTCGGTTCAGACTCATAAAAAAAGGGAAAAAAAGCATCATGGCAGCCTAGCTAAGCCAGTCAAAAAGGTCCCTTCCGTGAGCAGCAGCATGGAGACGTCAGCCGGCAGAGGGCAATGGTACCGCACAGGAGGTGCCAAGCCAATTCATCACAGCGCAACTCTTACCTCTGAGAATTCCTTCCAACTATTCCCCAGGGCTGAGAAAAAAAAAAATGACACCTTTCTAAACAGCATCCAAGTTCAAACATTTAAATCATTACCTTACCACAGAGATGCCTCTTTTCCCACTCCTGAACTAACAGCAGCAAGGTAAAATGCTCCACATGCTGTCATTTTCTGCTGTCGGTACGCATTTAAGCTACAGACATCCACAAAATTGGAGAGCGAGGATGTGTTTTAAGAGAATCTACCTCTCTGTTTTGCCTTCAGGAGCAGAAACATTTACAGATATTTATAAAAGCTGTAAATGTTTTTGCTGCTGAAATACCATACCTTGTTACCAGATTGGCCTCTCTGCCATTTTAAAATGAGAGCGATTTCAGAAACGCACTACTCCACGGGGCAGCACAGCTAAGCCAGAACTGCTCAGACCCAGGGACTGAACTACCACACCCTTCGTATGACCATTACTATTATCGCCCCTAGAAGCACAGTCACACTATTTCACCCTCCTTCTTTCCTGACACACAGAAAAAAACCTCTGATCCTTTTCTGCTTTCCCTTCCCTTTCTCACATATCTTCAACTGGTATTTATTGGCTATCCTTTTGGCCACAGATCCTGTATAACTGCATACAGAATATTATACCTGCAGCAGTTAGCTCTCCCTGCCTTCAGCTGTTAAGCCAAACAAATATACCTCAAGATCAATAATTTGTTGTCTGTTAGGGAGGAATATAATTATAATACACTGACTGGAAAAAGAACCCGTCCAATATTCCTTTACCCACTGACCACAAGGCTTAAAGCCTACTTAAATTATTTGCTTTTTTTCCTTTGCTTATGCAGTTCTGATTCATGGAAACATTGATGTTGAAAGAAGATAAATAGTCTCTACTTGCAGTTTTTTTACTATGCCCTTACCCCAAGAAGTGGCTAGACAGAGCCTGCAAATGTATGCACAATTCCTGCCCTGGCAGCTGTGAGCATCCTGCTCTCACACTGGCAGTGCCAGGGTACTACAAGAATGAGAGAACGCGGAAAATTGCACCAACAGGGTCTCTGCCACTGCAGAAGGTGAAGCGGTTACAGCAGTGGGACCAAGGTATGCAGTACTGAAACTCATGCAGTATCTGTTACAACACAGGTCAGAGTCTAGCCAAGTCTGATGAATGATTTTATATAGATTGCAGCTGTACTGAAAATGGTCACAGCTGCTAGATCTTGTTTATGTTAGTGGCACTGGTAAACAAAGCCATTGGCATTATTGGAAATACCTGTGTTAGATCTCACTACAGGATTTTCCCAGGCTCCCAGGGGTTTAGCCCACAAAGACACTGACTTCCCATGACCACAAAGAGGGAGAGAAGTCTGTTTCTTTGTATGAGAATATCGAGCTCATTCTTGAAAGCTAGAAATAGACATCACTGTGAAAGATCTCCCAACCTTAGTACACAATTGTAAAGTATGTACTAAATAAATCCAAAACTATTATTTATAACCAATGCAGTGAAACACAATGGAAAAGCCCCAGTTGAAGTTTCCTTATAACCAATAGAGCCAAAGTGACATGTATGAAATATGACTGTGCAAATAAAAATAAAACCAAATGTGTAACATGTACAGATGACCACACGGTGGCTCTCAAGTACCAGACATGAGCAATTTTAAACCAGAAGTTGATGACATCATTAAAATGCCAACATCTCTAGGGTAGGCTGTACTTACTTTTCCAGGAATTCTTGCAGACCCTGCCTGCGATGGTCCACATGATGAGGATTGTTCATATTGAAAAAGGGAGTTTTAGACGGCAGTTCAGGTAGCTGTCTTTATAAAGAAGAAGCAAATACACAGTTAAAACCAAATCTGAAACAGCAGAGAAAAACGCAATAAGCAAATACCAACACTAAGCATGTGAAAAAAATCACAGGTCATGTTCCAGAAGCTCATGAAATCGAATTTGGGAACAGAAGGCCGAGAAACTGGAGGGCTTCTCACATACCTCAAAGGGAAAAATAAATTAATCTGATTTTTCTGGTCCAGTTGTTAAGCCTGCATGCATGTCTGGCTGGGTCTCTTATGGTCCTTGCAGAACCTAAGCACATCCTAAAAGCACAGAGCGGAGGTACGTACACCTACGCTAGATTGCTACTTCTGCTACCTGTGCATAGCAAAAGAAAACGCAGACCAAATCTGTTACAAATTAGAGGGGCACTCACCAACAACGGCTATCAGTACAAACCACATTCTTCTGGGTTTAAAGCAGAGAAAATGCCTTGTACAGAATAAACTTGTGCTAGTACGAAACACAGCACCCTTTCCAGCTCTGATTTCTGTAATTCTCAGAATTAAGATGAAACAATCCTCCCCTCCCATGACTGACAGATTATTAAATAGCCATATATAAAGTTGCTCACATAAGCACTGCATTGCTCTGAAGCCTCTGCCGAAGCCAAACAAATTCTCGAAAGCGTCGTCTAACACAGGATGTTTTCCTTGTAAAGCAGATACTGTTTGTCTGTTGGGAAATTAAAAAAAAAAAAACATTTTTCTTTGTAAATCAGCTTAAGCTAAAGTGCAGGCATGGAATTAAAAACACATCCGAGATGCTAATCCCCGAGACACCAATGGAAAGCTTGACATTAATTCAGTTTAGGTTAAGGACTGTGCTTTATCTCAGACAGGACTGGTGAGAGTTTCTACTGCTGCTCAGGGAAATATTTTTCATAGCTTTTTTTTCTTTTTAAAAGCAAGAGATCTGGATTATGGTACAACTTGCACTAATAGGAAAAAAAGATCTCAGAAAAAAATTTCAGCAGACAATGCCAATCTTTGCAAGGAAAAAAAATCATGTTTAGCTATTCTAGTTATAATCCTGCAAAGTTAGCTACATGGAGTTCTTCCAGTGTGCAGTCCTACTTAAATCAAATCAACGAAACCAACGTGACTGCTCTCCACAAGTAGCAGCATTTGGAAGTTTCCCCACAGAACACTATTAGTCCACTAGAAAAATGCCAATTCATCAAAAGAGAAACAATTCACAGAAATTAAATGCTTTTGCCCATTTTTCCTGTGGAGCATACATTTAGATGAAACCCCACCTGCCAGGCAGGACTCTGTTATAAATCTGCCTGCAATCCAACCCACCCTCAGCTGCCTGCCAGGAGCCACAACTCCTAGGCAGCCACATGATGCAGACTGTAGAGGGCCCAAAGATGCCAGCTTTCTGGAATAGGTGAGTATCTGGGATACCTCACAGCTTAAGAAGCCAAATGCTCTAGGAGCTAGGCAGAAGGGGAACCCAGCTGCTCTAAGAGCCTGGCAGACCCAAGATTTTGAATCCATTGAGAAGCCTGGATGGTAGGACTGACCTAGGGACTTGGTCTCTGAAAGCCCTGGCATTGTGCTGGTAGGAAGCTGAGCTGATCTTAGCAGCTTCAGAGATGCCCAGAGCTGAATCATGTAATACTGTATGCTGATTTTGGCTGGGGTAGAGTTAATTTCCTTCACAGTAGCTGGTACGGGGCTACGTTTTGGATTTTGCTGGGAACAATGTTGATAACACAGGGATATTTTAGTTACTGCTGAGCAGGGCTTACACAGCATCAAGGCATTTTCTGCTTCTCGCATTGCCCTGCCAATGAGTGGGCTGGGGATGCACAAGAATTTGGGAGGGGACATGGATGGGACAGCTGATCCCAACTGACCCAAGGGATATCCCATACTGTATGACATCATGCTCAGCAATAAACTAGGGAGAAGGTTGGACAGGGGGTCACTGCTCAGGGACTGGCTGGGCATCGGTCAGTTGGCAGTGAGCAATTGTTTTCATTTGCATCACTTGTCCGTCTTGGGTTTTATTTCTCTCTCTTTGTAATCTTCCTTTTCATTACAATTTATTATGATTATTATTTTATTTTATTTCAATTAAGCTGTTCTTGCCTCAACCCATGAGTTTTTTCACTTTTACCCTTCCAATTCTCTTTCCCCCATCCTGCTGGGAGGGACAGTGAGAGAGCGGCTGTGTGGGGCTTAATTGCCAGCTGGGGTTAAACCACAACACACTGGGTCTAAATGACATCACCCCAACTTAGCAATCACTGAGAAAGCCAGTAATATACTTCTATTCAGAAGCCCCAGTGCCTGTGAAACAGTAATACAGCACCTGCCCCGCCAAATCTACAGAATTTCTATTTACCAGAACTCGAAGATATAATCGCTTTGGAACCAGTACTTAAACCACATTGCAAAATGTAAAAGTTTCACAGCTCTGATTGCCACATAGGAGAGAAGAACTTGTCACCATGGACATTTAATAAGCCATCACTTGACTGCTTGCTCTCATTATGCTGAATGCTTAACTCTCCCACAGAGGAAGGAAATGCTTTCAGTCTTGTGCCAAGCATTAACCATGTAGCTCGATGCTCCCAAATTCTTCACCTCATAGCAGATACACTTCACAATTTTTTTTTTTTTACATTGCAATTAAATCCCTGGATCTAGATTTGGGAAATTAGTATAACTCCTTCCATTTGTCACTCACCAAAGAAGAATAACCAACAAATCAAAATTATGTATAGGACAGATTTAAGACACATGAGAACTGTAATTCTAAGTGCACTCTCATTAACATATGGTGGACTACAATCATAAACCCAAATGTAGTTACTTGACGTACCCGAGCACTAAACTAGCATAAGATGAATGTCAAGGTACACTGAAAACAATCACATTGCAGCAACCAAATAACTTGGCAAAAAGAACTAAGGAGAATTCAAAGTACAAATAACCAGATAATTACTTGAAAAGAAAGATGTTTTCCCATGAATATCTGTACATCAAAATTCTTCTGTAATGGTAAGACATCACTGACTATGAGAGTCTTCTAGTTGATATGTAAAGCTAAGAACAGTCTCTGTTGCAAGACATCGTGGAGTGCACATGTGAACACAATACTAGGTTCAACTCCCAGCTCTGCCAGACCTACTACACAGCCTTTGGCTAACCCACCTCACCAGTTCCACTCATCTCAGTTGTTAAAAAGAGAATAACATCCTCCAGCCTCCCAGAAGTGGTGTCAAGAAATTCCATTAATACCCCAAAGAGAACCCTGGCTTGGGCAGAAACAGCAGTAAGAGCTGTAAGAATTTGTGCTGATATTTTTATACTTACGTGAATAAATATCTCATAGTCTATGTAAGAATGCCATGAGTCTTCTTTCTGCGTCCGGGGGTCTCGCACCAAGACAGTTACAAATTCCTGCAAGTGCATAATAAAAATCAAGCGATTAATTTCAGAAGACAAAGGCAGCCTGAAAGACTCTTGATTGCTCTGCTGTTCCACAAACTACTGTGCTCAGATTAAAAGCTGAACTGCTGTTTTATTGAATTTTGCAACCCTATAAAAGGAGAAGCAAAAAGCAATGAATCATCTGAGCTATACCACATGTCTGGGAAATTCCTTGCCAAATTGCTAGCTGAAAAGGAATATTTCAGATTAAGTAATACTGTGAAAAGTCATACATGTTTCATGCATGGGAGATTTCATGATCCCAGTAGCTACAAACTGAAAACCTAGCATTCAAAGTCACACATGCAAGAACGAACGAGGCAGGTATTCCAGGCTTTTCCCACCCTTGTAATCAACATTCACAAAGAACGTGTTACAAACCTGTTCCATGTACCCAATACTTACAGATAACATTTTATTTACCCCTAAATTTCTTTTTGTCATTTTATCTATATTTTTTTTCTAATCAAGAGTTTATACCCATCGATTTCAGGGATCTGAGGTAAGTGCTCAGTATCTCCACAAGGAGTTGAAGAACTGCCTTTTCTTCTACATGCCAAATGACTTGCTCCAGCCCAGTGGAAAAGGATGTACCACTATTAATGGCCCCAGATGCAGATTTGATACAGGGAATCAAGGTCTCAAGCCCAGTGCCCCAGATGCTGTGTGGAAGGAGATGAATCCTCCTCTCCTGCTGCTTATCCTTCCTGATACATCAGGAACTTCAGCCAACGAGTACAGGCGAGGATGCAGGACCTGGGCACTTCTGTCCCAGTCTGCCCATCAACCTGCCCAGGGAGGCAACACAGCTGCACCGCAGAGCATAATTCCCCATTTTCAGGGGACAATGATATAGAGTATTTGTTGTAGAAGTTGTCGTATCTAGTCTATAAATGTACATTTATGTAATAATTTAGAGGGATCCTGTAGGAGTGCGAGAGGCCTGTGGGCATTACTGCAATGTAACTGGGCATCACTAATAGGAATTGGAAGAGGCTGAAGAATTAAGTCCTGAGTACTCTCAGCTAATGACCATGTAAAAGCTTGTACTGTGTTTTAAAAAAAAAACAAAAACAAAACCCAAAAAGCCTGCTAAATCTGTATGTTCATACTAAGATGAAAAAGGTTTCTTTAAAACACAAAGGTTGAAAGTGTGCCTAACTACCTGCTATTTCCCAAGCAAATGAATACGCTGCCCTACTCCAGTTGCTTAAATAAGCTATTCACTCAAAGAGCTAAGCCAACCACTTAAACGATGACTCATTTAAGGAAAAGCTTATCATTTTAAGCTGTAGATACATTCCTCCTGAGGGGCAGGCCCTGCAAAAACATCTCCAGGTACAAGAATCAACTGTGGGAGCAATGACAGCGTCTCTGGTAAATAGCATACTTTTTAAGTACGTCTTCACATAAATCAAGAATTCCTGAACTGGAAAGCTCCCAAAATGTGTCTCTCCATGCCCAAATCACACATGTCAGAAATAAAACCCTTAGTCTTCAGCAAAGTCTTCTCCTCTCACCACACGCTTCAGCGTGGCACCAGCAGCAACCTTCAATGGACCCACAGGAGAACAATGACAACCTTGAAAGGAAAAGATGTATTTTTTTCCTGAACAGTCATTGCATTCCATACATGGCAGGGAGGTGTTCATGGTCTGAAGTAAATCATTTGCCACTCTGATTTCCATAGTACTACTTCAGGGATGGGGAGCCTGTGGCCTGATGGATGGATACAGCCCACAGTTTTATCTCACTTAGCCCAGCTCCTAGGCACAGGGGTGTTTTCTGCATTATTGCTGGACACCCTTTTGGTGTGTCAGGAGCACCTTGCCAAAGAAAGCCCGTTTGAAACGCTCCTGCCACTTCTTTCCTCACTGAAGAGCACCGGAGGCCCAATTCTCCTCTGCAGCTTTTTAACACCATGCCAACGTGGCACAAGAGGAACAAATGAACAGAGCTGTAATCACTTCTACCAGTTGAAGGTCATGCCTTTACTTTTACAAAAATGCTAGTGGGAAACATGAGGAAGTTGTTCCCCCTTCCTGGGCAGATTCTGAGCAATGCGCTGAACAAAGGAGAGGAAACCATTTTTTGGTTGTTTTTTTTTTCCCCACCTGTCTCACTATCTGTCATATTTAGCATACATATATATATACAGCATACTTTCAGACCCACTGTAACATCTTCTCATATTCATACTCTTATGTTCTAAGTCTTTGCCTTCCCCAGCCTCCCATATCCCTGTGTCTCACTCTTCCCCAGAGCTGCAGCCACTTCTCCCAAACATATTTTCTTTTCTTTCCTGAGTACTAAATGCATCAGTCCTGCAAGTGGAAGAGGAGGAATTATGCCAGAAAACTTCAAATAGGATGATGCTCTCCTCTTCCCTTCAACTGCTGCAGCCCAGGCGTCACAACTGCAGGCAGCCTGCTCATAACATAACCTCATCTACCGCTGTACCGGCTTCTTGTTGCCCTTCCTTTTGTCCAGGTTCCTCAAATCACTTCATTTCCAAGTCACCCTCTATAATCTTCTCCTTTGTACAAATCAAATCAATCTTCGAAGTAAAACGCTTCTTTCAACCTCTATTATACCAGAGTATTATGATTAAAAGTTACTATTGGATATGCTGTGAGTTAGCGACAGGTTACCTTGCAAATCATTCCAGATCACATGATTTAGATGAAAAACACCTCTGTACACTTTTAATTTCCAATTAAATAATCACTGAGTTTCATTACTGAGGAAGTCAAGCACCCTTCAGGCTCTACCTATAGAAGAAAGGAGACGTGCTGTACACGCTGTGGCAGGCAGGTGTCTAGGCAGTACGTCACTGAGCCAAGAGTAAAGGTGATCTGCAGTAGATCTATAGCATCTGCTGTATCATCTACATCTGCTGTAGACCTACAGCAGAGCACCTCAGCAAACTGCAGCCCTCACACACCATCAGTGTCAGCTCCGATTTGAAACACCAGGATTTCAGCAGAAGACTGAGTGTTTCCCCCCGCTCCTCCCTTATTTACCTAAGAATACTGGTATCGAGTTTGGAATGAAGCAAGATAAACATTAAGCAACTAGAAAACAAAACCAAAAATGTACAGCCTTTCTCAAGATCTATGGTTACTTCCCCTATAAATGTCTTGAATCCAGGAAGCGTTAAACCCAATTCCCATTACAGTTTCTGCTGCTCTGAAACAGCGGCATTGCACATGTAGCCTATCCCTTCTCTTTTGACCTTTAAGCCTCTCCAGGATACCAGACCCCACGGCGACAACAACATTGATTTAATCAAAGCAGCGCTAGCTTCCACAGTATAGATGTAGACATACTGCCAGAAAAGGTGCTCATACCTCCCCATCCCTATAAAAGCAGGCTTGTAGAGGCCAAGATTCACATATAGGCTCTGTTAGGGTCCAAGCAGAGTCAGGCGGCAGAATATTCCTGTAGGAGATTGCTGTTGTATGCTCAGTCCATCCTGCATTCACTGCTCACAGTCACCAGATTCCAGCAGTTTTGGGCAATAATTGCCTTTCTCCTCTGTATATACTCCCTCCCCATCTTGCTATAAAAATTAGAATACTCTCAATAGGCATGTCTATCTTCAAGCAATGCTCAGTTCACCTAGGGGAAGCGAGGCTGACCTCTTCCTCCCACAGCCCACATGAAGACTAACTTAATCTTTTCTCACAAGACCGCATTGCAGTCCAGCCCTACAACCTGGGAAGCAGAGCCCAAGGAGCGCCAAGGTCTCAGGGACTTTTTACTTTCATCAGCTGCAATCCTTTTTCATGGTGTCTTCTTCCCCCACCCAGTTCTGCTTAGTTTTTCCAGAATTGCAGATCTAGCTATTATGCCACATTACATATACTTTCTTTTTTTGCTGCTGTTTTGGGGGTTTTGTTGGGGTTTTTTTGGTTTTGTTTGTTTGTTTTAAATTGAGAGGCACAATACATGCATGTCTATCATGCATTCAAGAATGGTATGTGTCCTGTAACACTTAAGTACAACAATTCTCTCAAAACCAGAACTTAAGTTCAAAGTGTCCAAGCTTGGTCACAGAGGCCTATTGCACTGGGAACAATATAGACTCAACAGAAAGCTACTGGAAGAAGTGGCATCTCCATTTATTCCTTCTCCCTGGAAACTGCTAAATTCATAAGCAAAACATTTCCTATCCAAACTGCTAGTGCTATAGCTTTGATATGGATCCCAGCGGCCATGCTGGCCCAAATATCCTCATGAAGAACTTCAAATCTGCCCCCAAAGTAGTCATAACTACAACAAAAAGTAGTCATGGCTATTTAACAAGCAGAAATTAGCAGAGCAGCTTCTCTGGCTGGATGTGCCTTTCAATTCCTGGTTAAAACAGTCAGTTTAGGCATGGCACTGGTGGCATTTTGCTACCCTGTCCTCAAGGCCTGGAGTGTTCCAAGTAGCTGGGGTCACACATAAACGACAAAATGGCCAAAATGACGCCCGACCTTGGTTTACACCTGCTCCCACATGATTACTCCTATGCAAAGAACACAAGTGCTGACAGCAGAGGAAGAGTGCAGCACTGAGGTCATGTAGACACAAGCACTGAAACTGAAATGTTCCCATTTGGATTTGCCTCAAAAGGAAGAATACAGCATAAAAGCAGCTGAAGCAAATGCAGGAAGCCTTTCTCTCTCTCTTTTTTTTCCTTCCCCCACTCCTTTCTCCTGTCAGAAATATTTCTGCACAATGCAATGGATTGCTCAGAGGATAAACCAGAAGTTCCACTATATAGAATTTCTCCAGAAAAAACTCTGTTTGAGAAGTCTCTTTTCCTATTTTCCTAATAGGAAAATGTTAAAATCTGACACGGAAAGATCTATTTTTAATATCGGGGGAAAAAATCTACCACAAGGAGGAGGAATAAAAATAATCTCACATGGATGATTATTTGCATTAATCATTCCAGCTGCTTTTTAATTCAAATCTCTGTGCTCAGGACCGTATCAGGTGATAACCTCATGCTCCATGGTGCCATTGTTACACATCTGATTAGTCAATAACCCCTGAAGAGTCATTTTCCACAAAGCTTCCAAGAAAAATACAGTTTCCCATCAGGTTGCCTATTAGTAAAAGGATCAGCCACAAAGGACATGGGGCTTTTCATGCTGGGAGTGTTGGCATCTTCACTCCATACATGCTGAATAGTACGGTTAATAAAAGACTAGCAGCTGAGAAAATAATTTGTTGAAACTTTCAGTGTTCTTCGGGACTGAGCAAAACAGAATATGCAACTGTGATTCTTGTGGTCCATGCATCTAGTCTTCAGAGTTCAGACCCAGCTCCAACCATTGCATCCTACAAGGCTGATGGAGAAAAGACTGAAATCCAAGTCCTTCTCTCCTGTCTCAGTGTCTAAGCCCCTTATATGCACAGATTCACTTATTCTCCTTCTCTCTGATCCAATGCATATTTGATTCTTCCATCAAACTTTAACAGAACAAACTGGCACTGCATCACTCCAGAATATTCTGAAGCCTGGCAATCAAAAGCACGAATACAACCAATCTTTCCTGGTCCATGTGAACCTTAAAGAAACTCAATCCACAACCACCAAACTAGAACCCTTTTTTATTAAAGCTTAGACGTGACTTACTTGTTTTTCATGTTTTGGTGTCATCTTCGCTGGTTTTTATTAAAATAATACTCAACCTGAAAAAAAACAAGACAGACATCAGATTGGCATTTAGTAGTTATTTGAAGGTCATTATCACTTTTGCTAGACATTAGTAAACAGCGGAAGGAGCCAGGCTCAGTGCCATATATACCAGAAAACACATTTGCATTAACTACATCTAAGAATTCATTTAAAATATACCATTTTAGAAGCACCGGGTTAGTCCCCTTCTGGGGATATTTGTCACACATGACAGTCCAGTGATGCCTGTCCATGTCTGGAAGTCAGTGCTTTTCTTCCTTGCTCTGAGAGCCGCCCCGGGGGCTCGTCCTCGCACCCACCTGCCAGCCACCCCGCGCAGCCAGCACCCCCAGCACACACACACAGCCGAGGCAGGGCCCCCCGCGCCTGGCTCCCAGGCACCCAAGCACAGGTCTGCGTGACTGCGGCTGAGGTCCAGGGACACAAAAATATCCCAGTCAGTAGAATCAAAAGCCCCTGTCAACCATTTCTCTGAAATGAAGGTAAGCGGAGACACAAACTGTTCGGATCCTGCAGGCTAGCTAAAACTCAGGCCAAATTTCACAGCGGCCGTGGTTTCAAAACCTCCATGTAAGGAAGTGTATAATTAGATCAAATCAAAAAATCCTGTCACTAACTTACGTTTTAAATCTACCCTTTCATTGGAAATCCCAATAAATTTTTTGCTGCCTCTGCAGTCCCCTAAGCCAGCCATTTGCTCAGGACAGGTACGCACACATGGGAAGAGCAGGGCAGCTTTATTCACTTGTTAGCCTACAAACACACCGCCTGCCTAAAAACAACTGCCGTTAGAAAAGGATTCGTGATCTGCCTTTACCTCTCCCACATGCCATCCAGCCGCTGCCAGCTAACACCTACATTGACCCCCAGCTATAAAAACATCCTATTGCCTCCTCAGCTGTTAAAAGACAGCCTCTTTCCAAACTGAGAGGACCCGAAAAGAATCCCTCCCTCACCCCAGGAGTACCGTTCCCTGCACTGGCACCATGGTCAGGATGGATACCACTCAACCAGGAGAAGCTGAGCAAAATCCTCCCGCGCATCCCTCTGGGCAGGTACCTTGCACCAGAAAAGGTGAATTTGCAGCTTTCTTAGGCAATCCCCAGCAGCTATTGTCAGCCAGCTGCAAAATGTTCACATATACTAGAAAACACTATTGCATTAACTACATCTAAGAATTCATTCATTTAAAAAAATTCCATTTTAGAAGCACTGGGTTAGTCCTCTTCTGGGGATATTTGTCATATGTGACAGTCATGGGAAACGATCAAGGAAGACACATGGCTATGTTTTTGGAGGTGGCTTGCTAAGGTTTAGCAACACAGAGCTTGGAGTCGCTCACGTTATTATACAACCATATATATTTAGGTCAAGCCCCGCTAAGGACTCCTGGACACCCCACGCCTGCCCAATGCCTTTTACAAACATGCCTAAATGGAGTTGTAATTTGAAAGTTATTTTAATAAAACGGATCATAAAGATAAGCACACATATATTTCTTTGGCCAGGAAATTATTTTGGAACACACACATCTTTGTCAAATTTCTATAGGATCAGTTACATCAAAACAGGATACGCTGTCTCCAAACAGAAATGTCCATACACAGGACTTCAGACATCCTAAACGGTGCCACCAGTACTGTTGCCATCTCCACAAAGGTACAGCCTCCATTTCACTTCTGTAGCTAGGATGGTGCTAATAAAAGTACAGAGAAATATCAGAAACACACTCCCAATAAATTTTCTTTTTTGACTCAATGTATTTATACCTAACTGGCATACATGCTCCAGACTGAAGGCGAGAAGAGCGCTCGGACACTTCTTCCTGCACAGGCTCAGCAGCGCCAAGCGGCTCTGCAAGGTGGGGCAGGAATTTGGCTCATCAGTTATAACTGCTGTTAATACAGAAGTATGGTAGGAGCTTTCATTTTGGTGGAGATAAATGGCTTTTAACCCTCAGGAGAGCGCAAGCCCACAGCACAGAAAACACTATGCAAGGCTGAGGTTGTTAGAAGAGGATTCTGTCTGCGCTCTCTCCCCATCGGGTGGTGTTGTAAACCTATATAGTTCTGTCTGTTTGTTTTCCACTTTCTGCTCTGGTTAAGTGTGTCGTGGGTTTTGTTTGTTTGTTGTTTTTTTTTAAATGGCAAACCGATGTTTTCTTCAGTTATATATATTTATTCTACCAGATTCTGCAGCCTCTTTCTCTCCTGTCTCAACTGATTTAAGTAAGAAATTATGTAAGCCCAAAATATCTCATTCCTGACACTGTTAGTGAATGACAGGGCTGAAATAACACATTTCATTTTGTCATCTGTTTTTCTAATGACCGAGTTATGTGTTGGTGCAGGTTAGAAAGAACAGTTTAAACTCCAAACAGCCATCACAATTTTAAATATTTAATGACTTAAATTAATATTTCAGCACCAAAAGCCTTCCTAAAATATTTAAAATACATCATTTTTTCATTAATTTAAAAAAAACAAAAAACACACCACACACAACCAAACACAAGCCCACCAAAGCTGCCTTTTCCACTGACTTCAGCAAGTCTGAGATCGCCCCTGTCACACTGCAGCCACTTGCAAACATACTGAATGCAGTATTTTGTCTGGTAGCAAGACGTGTATTTTGGGACTTCTTTAACACATGCAGAAGCCAGTGAAGCAGAATAGTTCAACTGTCTGCTTAAGAAGATGTCTTTTTATCTTTAAAAAAACCCTACCCAAAATACCGGTGATGGAGAAAAGCAGCCTTCAGAAGACAAACAAGGTTGCTGGTCTTTTTACTCATAAAAAAAAATTTCCATTGACAGAGAAATGAACCAGTACTGGGAAAAAGAATAAAAAAAGGCAGTGGTAGATCTATAGTTTTGATAAAATGCTTTCTGCTGTGACTTGGGGAAAAAAACCCCATTGCTCTGAGTAAGTTTTCGTTCTGCTTCTGATCTATTATCAGTCTGAAGATTTTTTGTTTATTAGTTTCATATACTTAATATAACACCTGCTCCTCACAGTACATATTTTTGACAGTTCTTAATTGCATAACTAACAAAACCACCAAGGAACAGCTCCACAACTGCCAAGAACAACCACCCAAAGGCAAAAAGATTACGTAGGATGACTTGCCGTACTGCCTGTAGCCTAAAAAAAAAAAAAAGAGATCAGGAGAAAAAAAAAAAAAACACACAAGTACTGCAGTGCTTTTCTTAGGCACAACAGATAAACTGCAGTGCTGCTTCTTAAGGGTAATGGATAAATACGATGCAGTATTTTATTTCATATTTTAAAGTTGATTTTATGTTCTAAAATCTAAATTAAAACAGACTATTTAGTATTTCTAGGGGAATACCCTTTTATCACATGAATGGATTGCTCCACTAGTAGTTGTGTTCAGTTGCACTGAGATTTTATGATTTCACCCATTGCTGGGCAGTGGCCTATGCAATGTTCTTGTCTGCTCCAGGAGTCCTCAGATTCCATGTGGCCAGTGTTTCCCTTCAAGCAATAAATGTTGATCTTCGGCTCAAGAATCATCCTTCCACCCACCTTTGGTTACTTCTAAACATATAACTAAACTATCACCTTCAAGCTTTAATGGGGAAGTGTGATTTATTTTTAGACCCTGGTGAGGATTCAAAGTCCTATCCAGTCACAAGCAAAGTCCTCAGCTGCACTTTCAAGGTTGTTCCCAACATCAGTATCAAATGAAACTTTTGTTCAGGGCTTCAGTATGACCAAGAGAGAGAGACATCACAATTAAATCCTTAAATACTTAAAGATCTTCCCTGCATTTTACATTTTGCTTACCTTACACTCAAAAACCGTCATAAGAATTTTAATCTACAGCCTGTAGAAAGTTCAGTTGCATCTGTACATGAAGTTCACTATCACAGAACATGCCTGTGTGCACCTGACTGCACTATGTTCCTGAAAGGCAAGTAATCCATACGGACTTGTAAGGAAGATACAAAAGGTGATGGTGGGAGGGAGAGGATATGAAGAATAAAACTGTAATGAAAGAAGATGGTAGCTCTGGAGAGTTAAAAAAAGACTATAATAAACTCAATAATCCTATGCTAAAACCCAAGTAGTACTTAG